ATCAACATGTGACCTAGTCACATCATGTAATAAGAATCTCAGAATAGAAACTTAATAGAGTTAGATAGTGGACTTTACTTGAAGTAGAGTCAAACTTCTTTCAGATAAATAGGCAGCTTCGCAATCAATGCCCCTTCCTTTGGCAAGAGAAACATATGGACTCTTTGGGAATGGTACATGGGACTATCGAAGACTTAGCCTTTCTCTTTACCATTTAGTCAACCGAGTTGACTGTAGCCGATCCCTTTCCATTGGAAAGAGAAAGCCTTTTCTAGATATTCAATGTTACCATTGTCAATGTCCATTGGGAAGTTGATCTCCTAATTAAATTTGCTTTACTAGTCCTCAAATCATTATTGATTCAGAAGCACCAAGCAAATAGATAAGATCATTAATGTTCATGTCATAGTCTGTTTCATAGTAGTCCCAAAGGAACTCACTATGTGACTTAGAAAGTGATTGGACATCCAACTTTCTTAAGACTTTGACACCCAACTCTCTCGGCTTGTCAATATGTGACTTCATCTCCAAGATGCGATCATAAATATACCTTGCTTGCCAATAGGGCATGAGTGACCTTGAACTTTTGGGTTAGTGAGAATAATTGGAAGAGGTGGACGAAGTAAATTTCCAAGAGATTTGGGAAGATCATAGATGTCTGAACTAGACATCTTTTGGGGGATATTCAAGATATTTGATCTAAAGTCCTTAATATAACACCCAATATGAAATATTAAGGCTAGGATCCAACACAATATTTTATAACTTGGAAGAGGGATACCGTAATCCAAGCTATAGAATATTTGAAAATAGGTGAATGACGATTCACCAATTTCCACAATGAAAAACGAAATAATTTATTAAGTTTTCATTAGATTTGAAACTCCTAGATCTTTTGAGATTCAATGAACTTTTCAATGGCATGCTTCAATCTCGATGGTGCCATCTCAAGTTTTGTGATTGGGATGCCGAGGATCACAAAACAAGGTGTGAATAACCATGCAAATATACTTAGTACCCTTAATATTTACCCCTTAATCGATGTGCTGGTTAACCACCCGCGCTCCACTGATACTATGATAAACATTAATTTACCATTTGCCTACCTTTTTAAATCGAGATAGTATGCCGATTAACAACACACGCTCCACTAACCGACTTAAGCAAAGTGCAAAGTGTAATTTCATGGGTTATCACCAAATTCACATTTTCCCAAGTAACTAAGATTGGGTATTAATAAGAGTTTAGTTACTTAGTACTTATCATTAATACTTTTAATGAAGGGAGAATTATATTCCTTGTCCTAACTGTTCAGCTAACGACCCTCCACCAATCAAGGAAATGATGGGTAAAAGTGGACACCCATTAAACTATCATTTTATAGGCAGTAACCTTATACCCCCCTTATAGACCGGCTTCGTGAATGAGGCCTACTAATGGTAAGACGACTTGCTCTTATACATATATGTAAATATTATTGACTTATAATATTATAAAGTATAAGGGTTGAATTTTAACTTTTAAAATTCTAAGGGCTTAACTTGGAACTAAGGTATTCATGGAAAAAACTTTACAAATTCCAAAACTTGAGGGCAAGTTTTGAAACTATTCAAAACTCTTGGATTTTCATAACTTATGAGTTTAATTAAAGTTTTAAAAACTTTTAATGAAGTGACTCTTGGACATCCATAACTTGAGGACAAGTTATGGAGCCATAAAAACTATTTATAAGAAAAGGACTCTTCATTTTTTTTAACCTAAGTCATTTTTTATGAGTTTTAAGATTCATAAATGTGACTTTTCATATAACTTTAGGACAAGTTACAAAAACACATTTTATGAACAATTTTTAGATTAATTTGGATTGAAAACAACTAACACATATTTTTCATTATTCTAAAATAAGTCATAAAACAAGGTAACACAAAAAACTTTTGGTAATCTATAACTTGAAGAGAAATTATGGACTCCATTAAAATACATTTAGATCAAGAATTAACTAACAAACACTTTTGTAAATAATTCCTATGATCTACCAAAACCCATAAGCATGAACAATCCATATCAACAATTTCAAAAATTACATCAACATACATAAATCTTGAAATTTTGATTTTAACCTTGAAATTGGTTTACTATAATCATTACCACTTTAAAAAACAAGTTTTATAAGTCCAAAACAGCTTAAGGTAATGATTCTAGACCAATTCCAGCTTTAAAACTCTAAGATATGCTGTCAGGGGGTCCAACTCGTCGAGTGCATGAACCAACTCAACGAGTTGGATGAGTTTTTACTTGGACTCGTCGAGTCCCCTCATGGACTAGTCGAGTCCCCTGTCCAGACAACACAAATGTTTGATTTTCAGCAATTTGCATCAAGTGTAATAGAAAACAAGCCTAGGCTCTAATACCATTGTTGGGTTTTGAGCATTCTAACACTCCTGTGGTGTACATGCAACCGTAAATACCTTGGATCTATGTTTTCTCTATTATAAATGCAAATATGAATATTCCAAAGTATAACCCTGA